GCATCATTGTTGTCTAATTTAGCACGATGCAACAAACCTCTAGTCCAAGCAAAAATTGAAGCAATTGGATTGGTGGATGTCTCTTTTCCTTGCTGATAGAATCTGAAATGACGTGTAACAGTGCCATGGGCAGCTTCAGCCTCAACTGTTTTGCCATCAGGACAAATGAGAACAGATGTCATGAGGCCCAGTGACCCATAGCCCTGAGCAACACTATCAGATTGTACGTCTCCATCATAATTTTTGCAGGCCCAGACAAATCCACCCTCTGATTTCATAGCATAAGCCACCATATCATCAATTAGCCTGTGTTCATACCAGATACCAGCATCCTCAAACTGTTTCTTGTACTCCCTGTCATAAATATCTTGAAAGATGTCTTTGAAACGACCATCGTATTTCTTGAGAATTGTATTCTTAGTGCTTAAGTACAGAGGGTATTTTCTGTCCAAAGCAAACTTGAATGAAGAATGAGCAAAGTCAATAATAGATGCATCAGTGTTAAACATAGCCAGTGCTACACCTGCACCCTTGTACTCATGAACTACATGTTTTATTGCCTCACCAGATTCAGGTTTGAAGATTATTTCAAGAGTACCAGCACCTGGGACAACAAAGTCAGTTGCTTTGTATTGATCAGCATGAGCATGACGTCCAATGATGATGGGTTTGTCCCACCCTGTTACAAGTCTCGGTATATTCTTGCAAATAATAGCCTCCCTGAAAACAGTACCACCAAGAATATTACGGATGGTCCCATTAGGGCTTTTCCACATTTTCTTCAGTTTAAATTCTTCAACTCTCTTCTCATCAGGAGTTATGGTCGCACATTTGATGCCCACATTGTATTTCTTTATGGCCTCAGCACAATCAATTGTAACTTGATCATCAGTCTTATCACGATTTTCCATACCCAAGTCGTAGACATGTAATTCAATGTCCAAGAAAGGAAGAATCAGCTTTTCTTTGATAAGATCCCAGATTATTCTGGTCATTTCATCACCAAGGATGTCAACAACAGGTCCAGCCTTTATTTTAGACATATTGTATCTGAAAATGTTTTGAAATATTTCAATAAAATTTAACATAAAAGCAGTTAATAACTATTACATTATAAAAATAAAAACTGATAAACAATATCATTTGCACAAAGATTTGAGAAACATTTCTCACTTATCAAATAAATAATATTGTAGTACAACATTCAAACAAACTCAATGTAATAAATAGAACTTTAACCTTGATAGTGTTGTTTTTATATCATTGTATTTTTACTAAATGAGTTTAAAGTTCAAAAAACATATTGTTTACTCCTTGGAAAGAAAATAAAGTAATGATATGTACTTCTTAGCATATTTCAATCTAAAATTTGAAATTTAATTTGACTGTTCTTTATTTAAGTAATTTTTTTAGTCTAGTACTGTAGTCTGCCTCATGCATTTATTTATAACTTGAGTGTAAAAAAATAAAAAGACAGATTTAATAAAAAATTACCTGATGATATTTCATTTTCAATAGAGTTTAAAAAAGGAGCAGGTAATCAATTTTGCTGGTAGTATGTCCTCTTGTGAGTCCGCAGGGGTAGGATGAGTGGACGAGCTCACCGCCCACCTGATGTTAAGTGGTTACTGGAGCCCATAGACATTTACGACGTAAATGCGCCACCCACCTTGAGATATAAGTTCTAAGGTCTCAAGTATAGTTACAACGGCTGCCCCACCCTTCAAACCGAAACGCATTACTGCTTCACGGCAAATAGGCAGGGTGGTGGTATCCACCCGCGCGGACTCACAAGAGGTCCTACCACCAGTAAGTAACCACCACCCTGCCTATTTCTGCCGTGAAGCAATAATGCGTTTCGGTTTGAAAGGTGGGGCAGCCATTGTAACAATACTGCGACCTTAGAACTTATATCTCAAGGTGGGTGGCGCATTTACGTTGTAGATGTCTATGGGCTCCAGTAACTACTTAACACCAGGCGGGCTGTGAGCTCATACACCCACCTAAGCAATAAAAAAAAATTACTTGCATTTTTTGTTTTCTGTTTCCTTATTTTTTATTTGAAAACTGGTGTTTTCATGTGGTCCCATTTACATTTTAGCGAGGTCTAACCAAGAAGTTCTTGAGTAATCCTTATTAATACTTATTTTATTGACTTCAACTACATTGATGATATTCTCATTATATTTTGTTCCAAGTTGGTTTTCTTCATTCTTAACATTATATTTCTTTACATTTCATTCTTAATATTTGGCATTACAACATAATATTCAGAGTGTGATATTTAGGGATTTTTTGTAATTTAGNTTAGCGAGGTCTAACCAAGAAGTTCTTGAGTAATCCTTATTAATACTTATTTTATTGACTTCAACTACATTGATGATATTCTCATTATATTTTGTTCCAAGTTGGTTTTCTTCATTCTTAACATTATATTTCTTTACATTTCATTCTTAATATTTGGCATTACAACATAATATTCAGAGTGTGATATTTAGGGATTTTTTGTAATTTTGGGTAAATTAGAGAAAATTAATTTGAAATGAATCTATAAAAGTTTTCAAAAGGGACATTATTCCAATATATTTTATTCATTCTGTTCATCAATTTTGTTTAACTTATTTTCTAATAATCAAGAAATTTAAAGGTTTAAAAATAACTTTACACTGGATGCAAATCCATTAAGTACCACTCATTCATTAAATCCAAATCTTTCATGTAGTTTGCGGTTGTCATTTAATATCTAATATCTCACTTTTTGTTTTTAGTTAATTTAAAAACCTAATTTGACTGTCTTAATTGCATTAAGCAAGATAAAATTCTCATTGTAAGGTAGTTTCAGTGATTTGTATTAATGGTATATTTTAAGTTATGATAAAATAAAATATAATATAAAATACCTTTTTTTTCTATGCATATATTTCATTTTATATTATACTGAGTTTAAAATAATTGTTAGTATTTTTCAGTCTGTAAATGCACTTTAAATATATTTGTTATTCTTTTATGTATTTATTATAAAGTTCTAAAAAGGTATTTTTAAGAGAAAGTTTGACATGTAAGCTAGTTAGTTACTCAGCAAAAAATCAGCAACTTTCAAAATCAATTAACTTGAATTTTAAATAGATAAAACTTATGATATAATGCACTCTACAATTTTTACTCAATGAAATAAAAATTAGATGCACCCAGCATGTGGTTCACTTACTTTGCACAAGTACAAAGTTCAAGAAACCTGTTTAACAAGTAGCCTCGTATTTGTGAGATTACGTTCATTTATGTTAACCTACATTTCAACGTAACAGATAACATTACATTGGAAATGTATTAATAAAATATATCTGAAAATTACTTTGGCCACAACTACCACTCACCTTTCTACTTCTATGAATAAACGAGTACTCTTAAGATTAGTGGGAACGTCCTACAGTGCTAGCGCCACTAAAGAAACTAAATACATAAAATGGATAAAAAGAATGTTAGTTTTATCTGATACTACCAAATGAATTAGTAATAGAACACGACCGAGTTGTGAGATGTGGCAGGCGGCTAATGAAAGTGAATTGTTACAATAGGTAAGTTAAAAGTTAAAATTAAAAAGTCAAAGTTAAAATAAATTTAAAAGTTATTTAAATAAAACCTACCTGTGACGGGAGTAACAACCACAATTAATTGATTAAATGAAAATTGAAATGGAAATTAAACTTGTTCCCCTCCTTTTTGCAGTATGGCAATGTTCAAATATTAAGCGTATTATTTAAGGTGGCAATTTTTTTATGGAATTTTATGACCTGGCTACTTCGACCTTTAAGTCATATCTCATTTTAATTTATCCACCTCGAGATATAAGTTCTAAGGTCTCAGTATAGTTACAATGGCTACCCCACCCTTCAACCCGAAACGCATTACTGCTTCACGGCAGAAATAGGTGGGGTGGGGGTTAAGTGGTTGGCGCATTTACGTTGTGATGTCTATGGGCTCCAGAACCACTTAAGACCAAATGGACTGTGACTCGTCCACCCATCTAAGCAATAAAAAAAAATACCTACACGTGAAAATCACAAGAGGTCCTACCACCAGTAATGAGGAAGTTTCCAATCACATAAAAACAAAAAAATAATTAAATAAATTTAATGCAATGTGAAAGAAATGAGCCTGTAATTAGATGGAGTAGCTATGAAATCGTACTTATTTGGGTAACACAAGGGCTACCTTTCTACAATACGAAAATGCTCAATGCTCAGTAAATCAGTAATTGGCATTCTTGATAAAGCTTATTTTTGGACTTCGTTACTGCTGCTAAAATTAAGATTACATTCACCTAACGGTTCGAAATAAAAAAAAATCATAGTTTTCTTTAGTCCTTATATATGAATTTTTATGCTACTTTTTTTTAAAGTTAATTGATAAGGTATAAAAATAAGATGCATGGCATTAAATAACCATATATCTTTTTACTTTTTTGGATCATGTTGAATTAGATGAGCTGATTTGGCAAAATAAAACATTATGCTGAATAAGAATTGCCATCAATCGCTAAAAAAGCATTGACGGTAATTGAATCCTCAATTTTAAACAGTTTAATCATGACTAGGTACACCACTACTTGCCGATCAAATATTTTTTAAGCTGTGAAAGTGCACAAATTTGGGAAAATAAAATAAAGCCGCTGGACGTAACTTCTCGGGACTCTCCAAAAAGTCCATTGAAAAGTCTCAGTAAATTACCAAATTACCAGTATTTACTGAGGTTATATTTCATCCCATATCATATCATCTCGTCCTATCTCATTTCATTTCATTTTATTTCATGCCATGTTTCATATTAATCAACTTCATTTCACATCATGCTATCGTTTTTCATATTTACAACAAAATTTTAATAAAAGATTAGGCTGTATGATGAGATGCCTTCGCCTATAGAATTGTAAAAATTAACCTACTATTATTTTTTAAATCTACACTTGGGAGTCCGAGAAATTCCGATTTTCGACATTTAGAAATTTAGAAATTGAGATTCTGAACTTGTGTTTTATCTATGATTCTGAAACATAAAAGAAAGATGAAGATCCTAAAGGATTATGTTTGACGAGTCTTCGAAATGGTAGTGAAAAAGAATTGGCGTAAAATTGAAATAACCAGGAAAACTTCAAAATCTGAAAAGTCGGGCGATTCGTGGACCTTCTTGGGTTCTAAAGCTGTGATCGTTTGTCCTGTTAAATTAGTAAAAATGCAGACGGTAAATTTAGCACCTAATCTCTAGGTTTTATTTGATTCTTCATTCCTCCTTGCGACAACCCGTTCCCCCAGTAATTCACATCACAAAAGCATTGATGAATTTAATTTGCAAAGCTACAAAAGTTCTATTTATTTTCATAAATCAAATCTCAATAAATCATTATATTACGAATGTGAGAGGAATAACATATTTTTAAACCATTTAAAATATTTTAAAATATTAAATATTTAAACCATTTTAAAATATACACTATTTAAATAGGCGTCAGCTTAAATATATTCTTGCTCCTGAGTGACTGTGTGACTTAGATATCATTTTTCAGAAGAGCTTGAAGAATTTGATTAATTTTGTTTGACCACGAATAATTACATTGAATATGATATTAATGTCAATTTGAAATTAAAAAAAGTTTTCCCAGATATGCAATGATTTTAAATACTTTTAAAAATATGACAATTTTTAGAAACAGCCCATAACAAGACAAATTGCCATAAATACCCTTGCGGCTATGCACAGAAGATTCAGTTTGCCAGGACCAGTGCAACCGCATTCAAGGCCTATATCAGAATTCAGGGCCAGTGCCAACAAGTCTTTGGATATGCTACGTCAAACCATACAATCTGCAGTTACTAGGGAAATTGACCAAGTGATCAAAAAATATTTAGAGGTAAGAATTTCACTAATCCTATCTGCTAAATTGTGATATTAATAATGTAGTAAAAAAAAGACATGTGGCGCTCAGGGACTTCCACAGTAAAGCTATTGCATAGGATTTTTGTCAACTTATAATATGTATAATATAATTAGACAATAATAATTTAATATTAAAACTATATTAAAATTAGACCAAGGTGTATTTATAAACATTAACAAAAGCAAAACATTAACTGTCCCCTTCACACTCATAAGCTAGACTGCGAGAGAGATGGGCAGACTTTTTATGATGCGCATGCAGTGCGACATCACACCACGCTCTTATTCACAAACACTACACAAGCGCAACATGTGAATGTGCTGAATGTGAGCTACATGGTAGGCAGAGTGGGGGTGCTAGATTTTATTTTCGTTACGGAATTTCTTGATTCGGTCGCCGCGCTTTACGCCCGCGATGAAAGCTATCCAATAGCTTAAAAAAATATTGTCAAAGGCAGAAGAGCAATGTATGTTATTTAATTGAATATAGTCACCATTGAGTATGAGGAATGCCAATTCACTGATTTAATGGTACTAATAAATAAATGGTATCTAATAAAATAAATGATACCTATTTCAAAGTGAACTTGACTGCGTATAATTATGATGTAACATTAAAAAGTCATAGAAGAAAATTATCTTAATTCCATTTTTATGATTACATACAATACATAATACATACAATACATACAATATGAGAATATGTTTACTTTTCAGAAATTCTTTGTGCCAGCAGTAAATAATATAAGACTGAATTTGGGAGACGAATCTGTCAGTGAGGACCAGGTAATGTAAAAAAACTGTTTTTATTCATGTTTGAACAGGCCTGCTGGTCTGTAGTGTAAGTTAAATAGCAACAGCAACCAATAAGCAACAAATAAAGCAATAAATAGCAACCAATAAGCTTGGTTCATTGGGTATATTTTGCTAATTTAAAACCACATGTGCTAAAAAATAACTGTAATCATGTTCTGTTGGTTGGCATTTTAAATATTTTAACACTGCTATTTGATGAAATAAAATAGAAAAACAAGTCCAGAAATAAGTATTAAATTTTATGAAGTTTAGTGTGAGCTCTGAAGCAGAAGAAAATAAATAATAGCTTAAAAAATAAAAATGAAACATGCTTTTATAGAAAATCCAACTAAAAATAGACAACAGCAAATCTATTGAAAAAAAAAAAGCATGGAGGGTAGTTTTAAATCTTTTATTGACAATAGAATAACAATAAATATATATTCTACTTTTTAGTTGGATTTTCTATAAAAGGGTGTTTTGTAGTTTTATTAAGATATTATTTATTTTTCTTTTTTTTTGTTGGATATTCTATAAAAGCATATTATTATTCCTACTTAAAATGTTTAATTGTCATCTGCCCTTAATAAGTATGCCAAATTTCAAGTTAATCTGATGTTTTGAAGAGGGTCAAAATCATGTTCAACATTTCTGTTACATACATATTAACATATGTACGAAGCCAATAAAATCGTATTAATAACAAAGGTCAAGTGTATCTAGATTTCATACTAACAATTGCTTTCTATTCGTTCCAAAGCCAAATTGACTTCTAAAATGTTGAGAGTCTTCAGTTGTGTGAAGCAGTTTTTTAGATTTGTTCAAAGACTTTCTATACTAATTACAATTTCAGTATACAATTCTGCCCCTAATTGCGAATTCGCAGCCTCCTAATACCAGTAGCAATCATTTCACCCCCGAAAAATGATACTTGTTTGGTTTCTCGATATTCCAGATCTAATTACCAACTGAAGATACACAGAAATGTTACACATGTAAAAATTTCTGTGCTGTAACATTGTTCAAATCCTGCCCCTCATGGACTAAAAATATTTTGTATTCAGGTTCGTGCTGTGTGCAGGGCAATGCTGGACGCCACACGTTTGCTATACACAACTCCAGCGCGAACAGTACCATGTCCATATGAAAATAGTGAATCAGAAGCATTAGAAACCAAATTCAGCAAGCAAGTTAGTATACAATGCAGTTATTTGTATGTATTTTGAAACACATGTATCTAATGCTAAATGGAGCATGAAATACTATTTATAACATTTATTATATTATAGGTTGCTAATTTGCTAATTTTGAAATCTTTAATTAAAGCACAGTTCCTAAAGGTTGAAACATCCGTTTCTATGTTCCCGCTTAGAGAATCAAACAAAATATTTGCTTTGTTTTTCTCTTTTTAATATATGACTATTATTCATTAAATATAACTGTTATAGTTGCAAAGTACACTACAGTATAAAAGAAAAGATTCAGAGATTGAGACAGATCTATTTGCCAAACGGAAGAAGATTAAACAAGAAGATAATACTGACAGTGCTTCCTCTTCACCATTGCCTTCACCAGCATTAAGAGATCCAGAAAAGTGGAACCCAGATCGACTTATGCAAGATACGCTGTTTATTATGGGATCTCATGCACATAAGGTATTGTGCTACTGTTTGATAGATCTTTGCGATATAAATGTAAGGTTGTCTTAAAACAAGTAAATATTATAACAATATTTTTATTTGTTTATCATGTTGGTAGAACCAACTTTTTATTTTATTTCCCTTGTAGGCAGACAAGCATATGACTCACTGCATGGTGAGTGGTTACTGTCGTTCGTGGACGTCAGCAATGTCAGGGGCAGAGTCAAGTCACTGCCTAGCACTAAAAGTTCATGGTCCACTTTGTGTTAAGTTATTACTGGAGACTATAGATATCACACAATTACACAGTCTAAAACTTTTGTGGGTTTTAATTTATACTGCACAATTTTATTATTCCTTCCTGATAGAAGTCATTCATATATCTGTGACAATTACATATTTCTTGTACATTTGAAAAGTTTATAAACACCTGTGTATTTAAATACCGTTCATTGTGGCGGACTGTGGGAGAGACCTACATCCAGCAGTGGAGAGATAAACATTTTGGGACATTGACACTCTAAAGATATCTCTGAAATTAATTGTTTGGCCTAAAAATATTTTAGGTTCTTGGATTGGGCAACTCACGTGGACGGTTATACACGCGGCACTCTAGTTTACCAAGGTACCCCGCCGATAGCATAGACAAGGAATGGATTGCTAATCACAATTTAGCGAATGCTGTTGGTGGAAAGACTTACATAATGGTATGTACGAAATAATATTCTGATTATTTTGACTGATGGTTTTGAAATTAAGATAAACAAGCATGTAAGAGAAACAAAAAATATGTTTTAGGTTTTAGAAGATATTGAGGAATTGGCACACAGTGAAGCTTACAAACACAGTTCTTTACCAATGCTTGGTGAATTATCTGGATTCAAAGTACCTCAGTTCATGTTAAAAAAAATTAAGTCATATGTAGTGAAATGTGTCTTGAGTGAAGACATCAGTAATACAAGTAGTCCACAACCATCTACAAGTAGTGTGCAAGATGATGATAAATTCAAAGATATTAAAATTGAAGCACCTGAGACTTTTGATGCGAATTTCAATGCGAGCCATTACATAACTGGTAGCGAGAACTCCAGAGATTTCTCTGATGTAATGAAAGATGACAGTGATTTCTCTGATATCAAAGTTGAGGACATTGATGATATAAAAGTGGAACAGATAAAAGTCGAAGATTTGGATGATATTAAAGTTGATGCTATAAAAGTTGAGGGTTTGAACGTGGGCGGTATTAAAGTCGAGAACATCGACGGCATTAATGTAGACGAAATCAAGGTTGAAGACATCAAATTAGAGAACGACGACACCTTTGATCTTTGTAAACAAGACGATGATCAGAGTCATTTGGTTGATGGTCTGTTGGATTCAGACATTGAGTTTTTGAGCCGTAATCTCGGAAACATTGAAAGCGAAACAGATGCGAGGAAGACCATAGAGAAATTGACTGGCGCTAATGCCGATACGATAACTTTAGTCGGAGATGAATTCGATCTGGGTTCGACGTTGAACACAAACGTAAGTTGAATTTTTTAAACAATATCCTTCGATTTGTTTATTTGATATTTACTAGTGTTAATGGGTTGGGATAACTAGCTTACCTTCTTTTTATCGGTGCCCATAATACATCGCATTAATATCCGATCGGATAGATCGGATTGTTTCGCTCCAGAAATATACATGATGCAAACAATGTTTTTACTAGTGGTAGGACCTCTCGTGAGTCCGCGCGGGTAGGTACCACCGCCCTGCCTATTTCTGCCGTCAAGCGAAGTAATGCGTTTCGGTCTGAAGGGTAGGGCAGCCGTTGTATACATACTGAGATCTTAGAACTTATATCTCAAGGTGGATGGCGCATTTACGTTGTAGATGTCTATGGGCTCCAGTAACCACTTAACACCAGGTGGGCTGTGAGCTCGTCCATCCATCTAAGCAATAAAAAAAAACCTGGACGACCTCGAGTCCATCAGTAAGTATTTAAAGTCAGTATCAGTGTAATTACGAAAAAGCGGCACGACACGAGAATCTTCGTCGTGGTCGCCGGTAACTACATTGCCGATCCTGCAGACCGAATGGTAAACAGTCGACGTCACCCTAAACACCTCATTTTGGAACCTCCCGATCCACTAACGGTGCTTTTAGGTACCTCAAGCAACGGTCATCATGTATACGAGAAATATTGGTACAGTTTTCAGGTAATCAAACGAAGTGCATCACTGTGGCGTCGACGACCAGTGGCATGGTTCACAGCGTGCCGGTCGCGCACATCGCGGCGCCGCCTCGCATCACGGGCAGCACCCTGCATTACTACACCAGCTCCGCGCCGCACGTGACGCACGGGCCGCACGTGACGCACGTGACGCACGCGCCGCAACGGACCGTGCACCATCTGCCGCAAGCCACCGTCACCATACAGAGCATCCCGGGCTCCGCATCGCAGATGATACGAGGGTGATTATAGGCCACATTATAATACCTATATAATATACTAGCGACCCGCCCTCGCTTCGCTTCGGAAACTGTAATTTATTATTGATTTCTCCACTATTTAATGGATGTATACATAATATAAACCTTCCTCTTCAATCACGCTATCTATTAAAAAAAAACGCATCAAAATCCGTTGCGTATTTTTAAAGATTTAAGCATAGGGATGTAGGGACAGAGAAAGCGACTTTGTTTTATACTATGTAGTGATAATGCGTTTTAAATAAGAATGTGCATGGACCTGCGCCATATTGTGACGTCATAGCTGTCAAATCGAAAAAAATAAGTAATGGCAGTAAAAAAGGTAGACATTTTTAAATATTTATTTATAATCTAAATCTTCGAGTTTGCTGATTCCACTCATCCCATTGTTTGAGTAATCATCATCATCGTCGCCCATCCATGGATTATAGGGCCCGATAGTGTTGCTGCCTTGATTTTTAAATAGGTGGGATTTTTTTTATATAATCTAAATTCATGTTTAATCTACTTCGAACACTCAACATTTCAAGAAAATTATGTAGGTGCGTATAGTTCAATAAAACAGATATATTAATAGTCATTCAAGTCATAATTAGACAAAAAATAAACAATAAAAAAAAGAAGATAAGATTTATTTTTGTTGCTGTCCATACTTTTCTATCGAATTTTGACAGAACAAGGTCATTGACGTGCACATTCTCATATGAAACGTACTATTTAGGATTATATCGAGGGGTCGTTTAATACGTGACATTTATCTTTGTAATTAAAGGTGCGTTTTATTTGGTATCAGCATGAACAGTTTGATGTTTTTAATTGAATCCTAATTAAGTTTACCCCATTCAAATAGCCGTGGAAGGTTTTTTGTTACGATATTTTTTCCTAATTTTAAACTTTAAATGGCTCTACTGTAAAGTTGCAAAAATGTCGCTTAAACCACCGTCGATAAACCACCGACCTTCAGCTAAATAATATCTGTTTACGCCTTCAATAAGCTTTTATTAAGAAGATCATTATTCTATTAAAAAAGATTCGACTAAGTATTCTCTATAGTTAGCACTAGATCAGACAACCCCATGGGATATCTCATCGCATTTACTCCACTATTCGATTGGCGCAAAGTAATAAGTTTATAGTATTATGAAAGAAAAAGCATTCTATTACTGCTGTTCATGGGCCTGTGGTCCGCGAGTTAAGTGATTACTGGACATCATAGCTTCAAAGATGGATGACGACACCAACTTATTCTAAATATATTACATTATTTTTTTCGAAAAGGGCACAATTATTTATTTTAGTAGTAGGCTAATAATATAGTTTTTTTAATCGCTACCTTATAATTTCTTAGACATAAAATAAAATGAAAACCAGTACGGCACACGCGCTCTAGAAGTCAAACTTTCGAAAGCATTCTATCTCATTCTTACGCAGGATAAATCCTATAGATGTATATGTTTGTTTCATTTTAATTGCACTTTTATAGTGCCATTTTCGTTTCATGCTTCAAATCCAAATTGCGAAAAAGACGTTTTCACTTCCAAAAAAATCAGCAAATTCTTTTATTTATTTTTTTTGTTTCTAAAGTATGTTTTTGTTCCATTTTCGACGTTATCTATACTAATTCCTATTTTTTTCTTTCAGAATACCAATCAACACGAAAACTGGAACTTTCAGTACAGTTATGTCGCAAGGCGGAGGGAACACTATAATTGGTTTCGGTACGCGTACACCGAACGCGACAATAATTGGGACCCCGCAGTATGTGAACGTTTCATCTAAATCATTTCCCACTGGCAACATCTTACATAACGCGATCGTGTCGAGGAACATCATAAACCGTTCAAACTTGGCCGCCGTGACGTCCGGCGTGACGTTCAACGTGACGACGGTAAGGCCCGCGTCGCAAACGACCACGCCCAAAATAAGCACGGCGGTCTCGACTAGTTCAGACTACGACAGTATCTCCACTACGAAGGACATGATCGATAATGCCTGCAATTCATCGGTTATGTTGAAAAAGGTACTAACCCTCGGCAGTACTGGTGCGGCGAAGTCGTTTGTTATGCATAACACGCAAAAAGTTTTATCTACCGGTTTCGCTAGCGGCTCGACGCCTCCGCCGAATGTGACCATAGTCAGTTCTGGCGGTGGCCCTCTCGGTCATTCCACATCTAATATTTTGAGCGCGACTTCTGGCACTCTGAGCGCTACGCACGCTACCTTGTCCGCTTTATTAGCTTCGAACGCTGAAAACGCCAAAAAAGGCAACAAAAAATGATCGTTTGTCTCTCTGAAAAAACAATAATCCAAAAACAATTTCGATGCATTTAAAATGGATCTCATTTAGATTTTAAGTTCCCATTGTAGTCGCTCATTTAGTATCATAGCCAAATTACTATTAAATTGATTTACTTCGCTCGATGCGAATCAGACTTCCGATAACGATAAAGACTGTTCCTGATTATCTCAAAGAATGAAAAACAACTAACTACCTCTATATTGTCTCAATTTTAGGATCGCTATTTATAGTGCATAATATTTTTATTATGTCTGTGTGTGTTTGAATATAGGTTATAGTTAAAATTAGTTGAGTAGTTGTTGCATTTTTCTCGTTTTGTTTTGTTTAAACGTAAGTACTTAGTGTTTAAGACGTGATGTCTATTTTCCGGGATCAATTTAAAATATTTTTCTAAATATAATTCTGGTTCATTATTGTTCAGTATTAGTATTTTTTAAAAAAACGATGAGTATGTTTTGTCTTTAGAAGAAATTATTGAAATAAAATTTATTTATGCATATTATTTTTATAATAGCAGAATGCTATTGATTTTTACTATACTGCGCTGGTTGCTTAGAGTTTGTTTATATCTATATTATTATTTAAAGAGATCAAGAAAAAATCAATATTCGAATTTCAAAGAGAAAAATTTCGGTTATTAAATCCATTTCGTACTCAAAACCACCGTTAGGTAAGTAAATCTTATATGTATGTATGAAATTTTTGCGTTGCTTAAAGAACTAGTTTTAAAGATAAACAATTTTAGAGAAACTTATAAGCTATATTATATAGCTATACTATACTAAAGCTATACTATATTAAGCTATATTAAAAAAAAGATTTTTACTGCGCTATGCTAACACCGTAAAATCAAATATCTTATTAAAACACTAAACATGTTTTTGAGTTGTCGATATGACACGACTACGTATTAATAAGTACTGAATGAAATATTGCGTTGAGTATTTAAAAAAAAAATCGTTCACTTTAAATTTTTATAAAAAAAAAGTTCCTATTTAAATGATCCATAAAGTTATATGAACAAATATGGAAACAAGTAATCAAAATTTTTTAGCTTAATTCGCCTTATAAGCTTAAATTGAAACTAGGTTGCAATATTAATGTGCTTTGAACCAATGCTTTAGCTTTAATTCGTATCGTGTTGCAATATGTTATTGTATTAAGCCTTCCTATTATTATTTTTGTTTATTGTTAGAGCTTTATATCGTTTAGAAATGCAGCCGCTGTGCTTTTCGTGCAATTTGGTTATTTTGTTATCTATTTAAAAAAGTATGCTTAAGCTTGTTTTTATTGTTTTTATGCAATTACTATAATTATACCTATTTTTATTTATTACGAAGATAAACAAACAATTAAAGACATACATATTATAAGTAGTAACGTTTTATTCCAATCAAAATGAAAATAAGTTACTCAGTTCGGGGTGTAATTTTTTGATGAATAAATAGCATTTTGTTATGTTTTAGATAATATTGTTTATTCCTAAGAAGATTTTTCGAAAAATTGTGCAAATTTGTTACCTTAATTGAATTCCAAAAAAATACGTATGTCTAAAGGTGTTGCCATAACTAAAAAAGTATATTTCGTAATCCGAATGAATATTATTCATATGAATCGATCTATACGCTTTAAAGCTGTCTCTCGAATCATCATTTAAATATTTGCGAATAAAGCAAGGTAATATTAAGTCTTTATTTCATTACAAATGGAAAATAGTCTTTGACGAAGTTCAATTGTCAAATAAGATTTTTGTTTTGAGAAGTTTTTACCTAAATTATGTTACTCTTTGACATAAGTAATATTACTATGTAATATTAAAATTACTTACGTTATTTACAACTTTACTGATATTTATAACGTGGCGTCTCCACTTGAGTGTTAGGGCCTGTTTGACTTACGCTCTTGTCATTATTTTCTTTCCGAACTCAATATGACGTTAATATAACATCTTTATTTTCGATTTTTTTAAGCATGTTTTTCATTGAATCTTTACTCATTAAAAATGTTTTACGACTTATTACTTATCAGTAGAGTTGTGAATATAATTTGATAGTTTATAAGATGTGATTGTGTATTAGTGTAATATTAAATTAATTCCGTCTACATTCTAATAATGCTTAGGAGTTTCTTATGGCTGTGTGTTAGTGTAGTATCATTGGTGAAAATTTGGTCGGTAATTAAAAGTTAGTTATTTAGAATACTTGATGTCACTTTTAGATGAAATTTTTACCGGTATTCAATTTTTTAATTCTGTTTTTAGCCGTTGTCAGTATTCAAGCGGACGAAATACCGCAAGTTTGAGATATTGGTCGCAGTCTTTCTTTTACGTTGCATTTATATTGGTTGTCTCACACTTGAAACCAGAATGTATGATTGCTTCGCAACAGAAATTTGCAGGGTGGTGGTATTTACCCTTGTGGGGCTACAATACATTCTGCCAACAGTAAATGCCGGTTGGCGTAGTACGCTGGCATAATACTCAGGAACTCTGTTAATATCTAAGCCCCCCGTTACAACATCTACAGAAACAGTTGGCGTTTTTATTATTATTGTTTTTATTATTTCCCTTATAAGCAGACGAACATACGGCCCACCTGATGGTGAGTGGTTACCGTCGCTCATGGATATCAGCAATGCCAGGGGCAGAGCCAAGCCGCTACCTGCCGTTGCTACTCTAGGTCACAGCTCCATCTCTTCCCGTGGGTATCACGTACACCAAACGGTATTTGTACCGTCGTCATGATCAGTTGTCTACTATTGGACAGTTTACTCCACTGAGCCCGGTTTTTTGGTTCTCCTCATGCATTCTTTGCCACCCTACCCAAATCATGGCTCCACCTGACCGGTCGCATCCCACAATAGTTTTGTCGGTGTACGGTCTTCAGCCCACCGAGTTTCTCGCCGGATCTTCTCAGTGGGCCGCGTTTCCGATCCGGTGGTAGATTCTGCGAAGCACGGCTCTTACTAGGGTTCGTGTTCGCATCACTCCGACTTGAGCCCCGTGAGCTCGCCTACTAGTTAAGGTTACGCTGAAATAGCCTCTCAAGGCTATCAGTTTAGGTAGGAAAAAAAAAGTCTCCACTCAAGAACCGATCTGCTCTAGCGATAGTCGGTTCTTCGTCATATATGTTCTTTTTATGTACCGCCCACTTCTACTTCGACTTGGCATTCGCACAGCTACATAATGTGTCGGTGACTAGTTCTATCGAATAACATCATTCCTTATTTTATTCTTTAGAGAAGCCTCCAATATGGCTCGGCATATTCTTTGTACAATAAGTGGTGCAAAATACGACCATGATTAATAACAGTTCAAGATTTAAATTCAAATGACGTGTTAATATTCTATTTTCTATTGAAAAAGTATTCATTGTACAAGTAAAAAAAAAAGTGGGTTAAAAGTATAATGTATGTTTGAAAAAATCGGTTGAGAGTTAACTGAGGAGCAAAGGTACTGAACGTAATTTGACCTCGTGTCTTATCCTGGGTGGCGTAGCTTTCAAGCTTTCAGTCCATGGACTTAGAAAACCATTTAATACTATTTGGGCTATGAGCTCGTCTGCTGGTCTACACCATATTAAAAAACCTATCCTTTGTTCCAAAATATACCGATTGCTGTCTGAATAAGACAATCGATATTTTAATATAAATAAGCTTTTTTTAGTACGAAAGAGAAAAATGTTAAAACTTTTTGGCCGATTTTCACCTTAGTCCTAAGCTGACTTTAGTGATAATAATAAACCTCATAACGATAAATGTTCTGAATATTTTATTAAACTTTAACGAGACTAAATAAGCTTTTGACAACTTTTCATTCCACTTTTACAATGTTTGTTTAAAATTCGTGTCAATTGTATTGAACTATAATAATAAATATAATGACATTATTTACTTAAATTTAACTTTCTCAAAATGAAAGTACTAATCAAGGTTGTGTTTTAAATACTAGTGAACAATTTTACCTAGAATAGAATATGTAGTAAAACAAAATTATGGAGTTTATGTTCATTTTCTCCACTATGACACTAAATCATAGATAATAAGTGATCTTTGTTGTTTAGGAATTTTTTTTCGTCTTCATCACAATAATGGTCCCAATATAAAGTTTATACGAAATAGTATGTCTTCATATTTCTATTGAAATGACATGCCACAGTGATTTCAGCGTTGACGTTCTCTTGAGAATTAATTGTTTTAAGGTCAAAGTTCTAAGGTATGAATACAAAAAAAAAACGATCTATAATCCTGTGTAAAATATAAAAAAATGTTACATACAATGAACATTTTGTTCAGTAACTCTAATTTTTAAATCATAATATATTAGTTTCATAATCATTAACTAATCAATTAAAATATCAAATATAACCTTTATCAATTTTAAATAAGTAAGTGCGTTTTTGATAGTAGAAAATTTTGACATTTCGTATATTCGATTTTAAGATTTAATCCGATCTGGCGCTTTTAAAAGTGCAACGACGAACCACGTACGATAAATATACACGAAATAGAAAAATTGTAGATAGGTATTTGACTTTTTTCTTAGTACAAAGTTTTGGTTAAATCCTCAAGTCACTAATACTTTTTTTAAATAAAATATATCTTAGATCATCATCAATGAGAGGACACCATTAAGATGACAAGTGGCTACATTAAAAGCAACACTAAAGACAGAAATTGATCCGATGTGATATTTAAAATTTTAATAAAATACTTGTTGTTGTTGTAACAAATGGATATTGTGTATCTGAAACCGTAAAAATTTTCCACTAAGTAATGTTGTAATTATTCTGGCTAAAAAAATCGCAGTAAACAAAGTCATTAAATTACATTAAGCCATTAAACATGGGCGCGTAAGAAAATAACCATATTATTATATTAAAAGTCAAGATTATTAGATTAGTTCATTGCCCTCTATTAACCCATGGAGACACTTCTCTGCGCGGACTTACAAATTGATAAATTCGTCCACTTTATATCTCTCAAAGATAAATGAAATGAGAGTCATATTATTACGACATGCATCTCTAATAACTAATAAAAAACAATAAATTCATTCGTTGAAGGTTTTTAATACAAAAGGTACTTCAATTTCCGATGTTCACGTATTATATTATACATATTTTTAATAGTTAAACGTCAAATTTGATTGATTATGTTTAACAATCTGAGTTTCATACGCTTCATCACTTTTATATCTATGGTTGTAATTTATGGTTGTAATTGCCCGTCTGTGGTACGATTTGTTGTGTTTATTACTAAGAAATAAATGAAAATGTTTGTCTTACGTACATATTTGATTTTTAGTTTAATATTTTAGACCTAATTCTGTTATAGTTTAAAATATCGTGTACCTTATAATACTGGGTACGTATAAATTTTTACCCGATAGTTCTAGGAGACTAATGTTTTTCGAGTGTATGTTATGTTTCTTAATAGTAAATGTTGGTTACGGATTCGTTGGTTCTAGACTGGGCATTTCTCAATATGTCTAATAGTCTCGAAAGTTATGCGTGTTAAAAATAAAGTGTCCACAAACATTGCTAAAACTGATTACAATATTGTAATAGTAAACGGTAAGGGTGACGGGCTCAATTAAATATAGAGAATTTTTAAAAGAAATATAATCTAGTTAATTTGAATAGTGCCTGACAATTCAATTAAAAAATTAACAATTCGAACTAAAACCACTAACCGAAATGGTGAGTTGTTTGTTAGACACATCAGTAAGTGGTTTTATTTTAAAAATAGATCGGATTTCGTCGGTTGGTCGGAAATAATGGAACCTCTACTCTGAGTGACCTATTTATTGTTTCCAGAATAATTATTCTATTCAGTAAATTTCATAAAATGAATACGGTCTCCTATTTAAGGATAGCTTAACTTTATTGTATATACATACGCACTTGTACAAGTTAAGCGCGTGCGTGAGAAAGAAAACATTGTAAGCGACC